TTGATTAAGGGTGTGAGCCTGTGTCCATGTCCCCCTCTCAACACTGGGACTCCATCTGGCATGACTTGGTTTAGGCTCTGTTCATGTTGTCATAGTCTCTGTGAGTCTGCATGTGCATTATTCCTGTTGTGTCTAGAACACAGTTTCCTTGGAGTCCTACACCCCCTTCTGACCCTTACAATAAATTCAGATTTTAAATGCTCAGAAATGAGACCTAACTACACAGTTGTCATGGGCAGCCAAAAGCACTGTCATTACGTCATACTGTCTTGAGCACCTGTGGAGCCACTGTGATCATGAACTCATACGGAGTTGTCTTGTACCTGGAACTGAGATGTCCACCCATGCAGATGCCTGTGTTCAAAGACTCTGAAGTTAAACTAAAGTACAAATCACATCCATGTACTTTCTACTCAGCTTTCTGTAAGCATAATCTCACATAACGATAGAGAATGATCAGAATCAGACCACTGAGACAGTATTAATACACTACAATTCTTATCTAGATATCTCTCCAGCTTTGTATACCATTTTCTTAAAGTTATTATTTTTGGTAAACATATTGTATCAACAGATGCATACAACTTAACCAAAATCTGAATACAAATTTATTCTATCAGCACTAACAAAATCTTAAATGTAAAATTAGGCAACTATGAATTATTCATGATTTCCAGACTTTTTGTTACAGAAATAACACTGTAATTTAGTGTCTCTTTACTCTACAGTGCACTTTCCTTGGTTCCCAGGACCTCCCTTTGTTTTGCTGTGCCACATGTATTCTATGTCCTCTGCAGTCATGTTTATTACTTACATTGCAAGATCCTAGATTTCAATATAGCTTTCTTTTAACCTAAATATTGATTTACCTGACTCCAATCCTCATTTCTCCATTTCTTAACACCACTTCATGTTTGAACATTTAGGTCTCTATTATTTACCCTATCTACTTTCATTTTATCTGAACGTTTACTATATCTTTTACCTTATTTCCCAAGATTCCAATGACACATTTCTAATCTCTTGGCTTCTATAATTAACTCCACAATCCTAAACATTCAAATTGACAATTACACACAGTAGAAAACACATAGCATTTGTCTTTCTGTATCTGGGTGATCTCACAGCATATTTTTCCAGGTCCACTCACTTTCTCTGGATTTCATGATTCATCCTTTACCACTGAGTAATATTCCATGATTTATATGTCCCACATTTTCACTACCTATTTATCCTGTGTTGGGAACCTAGGTTGCTTCCATTTCCCAGATGCTGTGAGAACAACAGTGACAGACATGGATGTGCAAGTGTCTCTGTAATAAGATGTCGAGTCTTTTAAGTACATTCTTGGGGGGTAGGTGGGATGAAGCATTATTTTAATTATTATTTTTTGGTGAGAACTTCAAACTTCTTTCCAAAGTCACCGCACTAGCTTGCACTCCTGTCAAGGGTGAACAAGGGTTACTCTCTACCACTCCATGCCGGCATTTGCTGTCATTTGTTTTCTTCTTTATGGTTATTCTGACTGAGGTGAAAATATAGCATTAAAGGTGTTTTAATCTGCATTTCACTATTAGCTAAGAACTTTGTTTGCAGGACATAGAGAAACCAACCGTGAAATTCTCCCTGCGGTCTAGGTTTCCTAGAGCAGGAAGGTGCTACACAGCCTGCAGGGAGAGAAAAGACACTAATGATCTTACACATTGCAGATTGAAATATCAGCCTTCAGGTAAGATGTATCCACTAGTGCCTGACTGTTATGTAGTGACCAACTACGTTCTAATTTGGTTTGTATTCTGCTCCATAGGAAAGATTTATCCACGGTAAACATGTTCAAAGACCCATGGATATGGAAAACATAGCCTTGCTAGATCCTATTGTATGGCTAATGGTCAAGTTGTCAACTGCCTTATGTAGTTGATATATTGTGCACCCCAATAAACTTATCTGGGGGCCAGAGAACAGAATGGCCACTATATTAAACATAGGTTTAGGCAGTGGTAGCACACGCCTTTAATCCTAGCATTCCAGAGGCAGAGATTTGTCTGGATCTCTGTGAGTTCAAAGCCGCACTGGAAACAGCCAGGCTTGGTGACACATGTTTTTAATCCCAGGAAGTGATGGAAGGAAGCAGAAAGGTATATAAGGTGTGAGGACCAGGAACTAGAACCTTTTTAAGCTTTTAGCTTTTAGCAGTAGTTCAGCTGAGATCCATTCAGATGACGATTCAGAGGCTTTCAGACTGAGGAAACAAGATTAGCTGAGGCTTTGGCTAGGTGAAGTCAGCTGTGGCTTGTTCTGTTTCTCTGATCTTTCAGAGTTCACCCCAATACCTGGCTTCGGGTTTGTTTTTATTAATAAGACCTTTTAAGATTCGTGCTATAGCCTTATAACACTTACATTAATGCTGCTCTCAGCCATGATCACAGAAGCTTCTGTGTGCCGTGTATTGATCAATGCAAACATTCACGACTGGTCAAAGTGCTGGGAATGAATGACGGAATACTCCACAGAGAGGGAGAACAAGGAATAAGAGACCATGATAAATGAAGACCACATGGGAATAGGAAGAAGCAAAGTGCTAGAGAGGTCCCCAGAAATCCACAAAGATACCTCCACAATAGACTACTGGCAGTGGTCGAGAGACAGCCCGAACTGACCTACTCTGGTGATAGGATGGCCAAACACCCTAATTGTCGTGCTAGAAACCCCATCCAATGACTGAGGGAACCGGATGCAGAGATCCATGGCCAGGCCACAGGTAGAGCTCCAGGAGTCCAATTGGCGAGAAAGAGGAGGGATTATATGAGTGAGAATTGTTGAGACCAAGATTGGAAAAAACACAGGGACAAATAGCCAAACTAATGGAAACATGAACTATGAACCAATGGCTAAGGGTCCCCCAACTGGATCAGGACCTCTGAATAGGTAAGACAGTTGATTGGCTTGATCTGTTTGGGAGGCATCCAGGCAGTGGGACCCGGACCTGTCCTTAGTGCATGAGCTGGCTCTTTTGAACCTGGGGCTTATGCAGGGACACTTAGCTCAGCCTGGGAGGAGGGGACTGGACCTGCCTGGACTGAATCTACCAGGTTGAGCTGAATCCCCAGGGGAGTCTTTGCCCTGGAGGAGATGGGAATGGGGAGTGGGCTGGGGGAAGGTGGGGGGGGGGGGCGGGAGGGGGAAGAACAGGAGAATCCATGGTTGATATGTAGAATTAAATTAAATTATAAAATAAAAAAAATAAAAAAAAAAGAATGATGGAGTACTCAGCCACAGATGAGTACTATATCTACATCATCCTCCCACCAAAGGGGAAGAACCACAATATAGGTGAGATTGGAAAGAATGTAAGATACAGAATATGAAGTAGCTAGTCATGGAATTCTATCTTAGGACTTGGCATGGTCATTATACAAAAGAACTCACAGTAGCTATAGTTACCAGCCCAAGACCTGAGCAAAACAAGCCAATCACAGTTACAGCATGTAAGCTTGTGAAATACCTGGGCAGGTAAAGGAATCTATGCAAAGGTTAGCATTGTTAGTTTGATTGCTTGGACCAATATGATAGCATACAAGAACTGAATTCCACATGTTCTTTTTTCTCACAACTAAAGATAGTATAACAATTTTTAAAATTCTTACTTGGATGAAGAGAAACTCCTGAGGCCCTACACCATGCTGAGGATCTATTGGCATATGGTGACTGATGAGGAAAATACAATCAATTTTCTTTGAAAGGTTTCTGGAGGTTTCCAATACACTAGTGAATGAACCCATCTATGTGTATATAGATAGTACTGACTGGATTCACTGTGTTATGAGTTAATGAAACAAAAGAGGTCAAGAAGTTGGGAGAAAACCTTATTGGAAGATCAAAAGAGGAGTAAGATGGGCATACTAGGGGTAGATATGATCATAATGTATTTTATACATGAATTAAAATTTAAAAGAATAAAAATTATGAAATTTAAAAATAACAATTTTGCATACATTTAGAATTTTCATAAATATATTTTGTGCACTGTCTATAATTCCCTCATAATTTCTACTCTTTATTTCCTTTCCCCTCATACTTTTCCTTTATTATACTAGGCAATTTAACTTATACATCATTATGTGTATGCATTCATAGTTGTATGTAAGTATGCAGTATCTATAAACTACTAATGAGAGTCTCATTTAATGTCATTGTTTCTGAGATGCTCTTAATACATTTATCTCTAGTTTAATCCATTTTTATAACTGATGTAAATTCCATGTTCCTTTAAGATGAAAAACTTCTGATGTTTATATCAACGTCTTCTTGATGAAATCTTCTATTGACAGATACATAGTTTGTTTCCATAATTTAGTTATTGTGATGTTGCTGCAATAATCATTGTGCAAATATTTCTGAAGTATATCTACTTTTGATCATTTTGATGAGTTTCTTAGTATATAATATGTTGGAAAGGCAACTATTAATTGCATATATTTATAAGGAGATTGTAAATTCTCATAACTTAGCAGGTTTTAAATTTTCCATAACCACCATCATCATCACAACCACCATCTGGAATTCAATCTGACAAACTTGTCACAAAGTGGAGCAACTGCCTCAGGCCTCACATCTATTGAGAGCTTAGGTCCCGATGTTACATACGCAGCATCTGCACAGGACTCAGGGACTTGTCACAAAGTGGAGCAACTGCCTCAGGCCTCACATCTATTGAGAGCTTAGGTCCCGATGTTACATACGCAGCATCTGCACAGGACTCAGGGAACGAGCGTGTTATATATTTCCTCAGAGAGGATTAGGACTTGGCCCTCAGCATCAAATTGCCTGACCCAAGTGTCCTCTACCTCCTTCTGCAGCTGGACTAGGTCCTTATCTGAGAAATCTTCTGCTCATGAATATGCAAATTACTTGAGTATATGATTGTAAATTCAGAGATTTCCACACTCCAAAACAACTTATGACCACTGTTCTCTCCACAGTCACTGAGCACACAGGTCCTCACCATGGGATGGAGCAGGATCATCCTCTTCCTCTTGTCAGTAACTACAGGTAAGGGGTTTTCCAGTTCCAAACCTGAAGAAGGAACAGGGACTGAGGTGACAATGACATCCACTCTGTCTTTCTCTTCACAGGTGTCCACTCCCAGGTTCAGCTGCAGCAGTCTGGATCTGAGCTGGGGAAACCTTGGTCCTCAGTGAAGTTGTCCTGCAAGGCTTCCGGCTTCAACACTGTTGATACCTATATGCACTGGGTGAAGCAGAGGCCTGGACAGGGCCTGGAGTGGATTGGAGCTATTAATCCTGGAAGTGGTGGTACTAGCTACAATCAGAAGTTCAAGGGCAAGGCCACACAGACTGCAGACAAATCCTCCAGCACAGCCTACATGGAGCTCAGCAGCCTGACATCTGAGGACTCTGCGGTCTATTACTGTGCGCGAAACACAGTGTTACAACCCACATCCTGAGTGTGTCAGAAACCCTGGGGGAGCAGGAAGCTGCCCTGGGACTGAGATGACAGACAAGATTAGACTGGAGACTTGCTCAGAAATTATCATTTCAAGTGTTCCTTTGTTTGTCAGTTCACAGTCTTATAGTGTCTTTGTCAACTTTCAAAAGGACCGCAAGGAATAAAGTGATGCTGATTCTGGATGTCCTTAGAGTATACCATACCTTAACCAGCTGTTTGTTTACAAGGGAACAGATCAATTGACATGATTACTTTTTCATAAAGTAAAATAGGACGAACTGTGGCAATACATTATGATATCAATATCTCTTAAATCTTAGGAACAGGAACTATTGCTGGAGTAGCTGGCAATAAACTGTAATATGAATTAGGCAAGTAAAAGACAAATCAATAACAAGTGCACAAACAAAGCCCCTTTCATAATCCAAATTGGTTTCCCTAAAACAAGCAAAGATAGTTTGTTGGAAAAGGTCTCCATAGATTTTGGTGTAGGTGTCTTATCTCTCCTATGAAATCTAATTTTATGTCTCTAGTTATTGATACATCTGCTTATGAATTGCTTTTGGCAGTAGTAATAAAATATCATATTTTTTAGGGTTAAGGATGGAGCTGACTGTCAGTGGAGTCTCCTGGTGTGGAGTCTGCTACTTTGGCAACAAGCTGGGCTCCTGCTCAGATAGCACTGGGAAAAGAGCAGTGGGATTCCAAGTTGGGAATGTAGAGACCTGATCCTGTTATCAGCAGCCCTGGGTGCTCATTCCCGTTTCCTGAAACTGGATTCTCTTTGTCACCACTGTCAACACAGACTACACCAGTGAATCAAACGCATCTTACATTTGAAGGTGTTTTAGGGGGAGGTTTAGTATACTGAGGATGATTAGCAAGCATATATATATATATATATATATATATATATATATATATATATATATATATATATAAATGTCTATTTCTCTCCACATTTGAAATATATTGGAAGTCATAAAAATATGTCTAGAATATGAGCCTTATGTTCATTTGTGCCATCATTTTGGCATGCTTTTATGAAGTCAACAATAGTAGTAGAGGTATTAGCAAATGCAATAAAGCTTTTTTACAGTTGCCACTTTCATTTTAATAAGCAGATGAAAAAGACATGGTGGAAGCAGTTTCTTTATTATCTGCCTACATTCTATAGCTTGTTGTAGATGACTGACAATGTCATAAAGGTCTACGTACAGTTTTGTCTATAGTGGGAAATATGCTTGTGGGAGTATTAATATCAGGAACTTTATTTCAAGCCCTTATAACAACTTGACTGCTTTGGCTGTGAACTACTTTCGGGCTGGCAAACTGTTCAGCCACTCTTTAAAAGTTTCCTTGTATGACTGATTATATTATATTATATTATATTATATTATATATATTATATTCCAACTGATTATAAGTAATGTTTCTAGGGGGTTCTTGCCTTTAGTTGTGAGCAGCAGTAGACAGGCATTCACCTGTCCATTACTGAAGCCACAGTCTAAACTGAGGGGTGGTGAGAATTGTTTTCACAAGGGCTTACCAGGCAAAGAATATCCTTTCATAAATATTTGCCATAACAGCTATTGTTCCTGTAATGAAATCACTCTCAAATCATCTCTCTGTAACATTTTTTTGAGATCTTTTATATGGTGAATGGAGGCTTCTTTGGGCAAGATTTGCCATACTCCTCTAATGACTAGAAACGTAGTTAATAGTTCTCCTGTCTGAGAATTTTCTTTAAGGCATCTTAAAATCATTAAGATGGTAGGTAAAAATCATTAATATATTAACATAGAAAAGGGAAGTATGCAAAGAAGATGAAAAATACTTAGTAGGTAGACATTTTTGTGGGACTTCCTTTTCCTTTTGGTGATGGCTAGGTCAACCTTGTCCAAAGGATTAAATAGTTTTGTATAACTGATCCTACAGAATAGCACAATTGATCAGCATTTCCCCCCAAGATCATGAATGACTCACATGATGAGGTTGTTATGGATGTCTCTTAGTAACAGTCAATAATTGATGAGTTTATCTTAATTAATCATTGATTTGGACTTTAGACAAAATTCCTTATTGTGAATTTTCTATCTGCTGTGCAAGTACAAGAACTGCAAGAAACAAAGAATCCCCTCAGTGAGAGCATTTTCAGAGCCAAAAGAGAGAAGGCAGAAGCATGGTGCACTACATGGAAAGCCCTGCTCTTTCCTTGCAATTGAAGATGAACTAGAACAAAACTGGACCAGATACAGAAGGAGATACAAAGCAATAAAAGTTTATCACTTGATGGAAGCTTTCAGGACATAGTATCCCTGCTCCTGAGATCCACCTACTGGTTCTGTTGACCTGAGAAGTCCAAATTTCCCTTTTCTTTGAGAACTCTCCACCACCCAAACAAGTGAGGGAGGAGCTTTTTGGAGCTGTCCAGGCTCCTGTTGCTTTTGATGACAGAGATGTCCAAATTCACATCCTCAACAAGGGATCTTCCAGATTCCCTCTCAAGAGTTTAGACAGTCCTTAGCTCACACTGTGTGCTCTGAAATGCTTTAAAATAAATTAAATGTTATTCACACAGAGCCCAAAATGGATATATTTAATGTATTGGTGAGTCCTCACACAACATAAAAATGTATTGGTATTAGCAAATCAACAATAAACTCAGACTCATCAATCATTTTTCCACATCACTTTAAGGGATTCAATCAAAGCACTCTCCTTGATGTCCTTTAACCAACAGCAAGCCCAGGTTTGAATTCTTGACCCTTCTTGACTCTTCCTGGGTTATCTTCTGTTGTCCCCATTGTAGGCTCTGAATCTCTGTATTTACCTATCTGTTCCTCTACACCTCTCTGTTTCTCTCTGTGTGTCTCTGTTTCTCTGTCTCTTTCTCACTCTCTCTGTCTCCTTGAGCCCCCCTCTGCCTCTGTCTCCCTGTATTTCTGTCTCTCCATCTCTCAGTCTCTCTGTTTCTCAATCTCTCCATCTCTGTCTCTTTTAATATCTGTTTTTCTGTTTCTCTCTCTCTGTGTGTGTGTGTGTGTGTGTGTGTGTGTGTGTGTGTGTGTGTGTGTGTGTGTGTGTTGAATCCTTAACAAAGGTCTTTGCTCTGTATTTATTGAACAGTACAGAGAGCATCACATGGAAAAAGAATAAGGGATTTTTTACAGAAAAATTTAACAGTGTTTTACTAGGGATTAATAACTTCTTCCAGCTGACCCAAATAATAAGCAGTACTATAAACATTTTTATTAAGAAATATCTGTATATGTTGTCTTCAGCAATTTTTGATGCTTATTTTATAAAATTTATTTAAATCTACATTTTGTGTGTTCAGGCAATGGTTATCATAACACACATATACAAACACAAATGCATTATTCTTGAGTCAGGAGCAAGGAACAGCATGAAAAGTAAGGTTAGAGACACGCATTATCGTAGGCTGTAAAAGATGACTACATGGGAAATCCTAGGCAAGTAACATTGAGTGTTACAATAGTAACTTAAAGGCAGGTTAAAAACACAGTATTAGTGTAGAGTATGATCACAGTCTGAAGAATTTCAAAGTGCATTGTTCACTCTGGCTGTGTGGTCCTGCAAAAGTTTCAGTCTCTTGGATGTAAGAGATATTTTTATCATAATGTATTACCACAAAATTATAATTCCTGTAAGCTGGTTAAATATACTATTAAAACAATTTTCACAGAACACATTTATTGACACAATTTATGTACATCTTAATTGTCAATAGTTTTGAAATTATTCATTATGCAGTATTCTCTAGTCTCATATTTACTGCCTTCCCAGTCTCAGTACTCTGACCTACACTTTAAATCTTTACAGAACATGGACCTACATTGATACAACATCTTCTCTCACACAGTCCTTTAGGTAGCTGGTGATCACACTTTTATAGATCATGGGATTTTGGATTAATGTGTGAATAACAACCAGCATGGAGAACTTGAGTACTTGGTAATCTCAAGGGTTTGATTCAATAAGAAGACTCTTTAGCTCAGAACAGTTGCATTTCATGCTCCTCTAGCAGACATTCCCCCCATGACAAATATCAATGTCATGTGTTTAATATGTATGCAACCATGTGGGGAATACATTGTAGCAGGCAAGAATCCCATGTGTCAATTCTATGTTAAAGATTTTAAAAACATATATTGAGTTGTAAACACTGTTTCAAGTACCAATGATTTCATAAAACATCTTCCTGTCTTCCTCCCACTGGAAAGCAGGGATTGACCAGGAGGGAGGGGAACCTTCAACTTTGGGCCTTTGTATTGAATGGGACTCTCCAGTTTCCTGGAAGTCATTTGTCAAGTGTCTAAAAGAACTTGATTCAAGGACTTCTCTAACACCTGTTGGACAAGCCATTTTAAAGTCCCAGCAACCTCATACCACATGTGGGAGAGATCTCCAGAGAGGGTTCTGAATGTCTGAAAGATCAAAAAGTGAATCCCTGAGACTAAGATACGTTGTGGAAAAATTATTATATTTTTTCTTCTACTCAGAAGAAGCAAATGATTCATTTCAATTTGATTCCAAGTCTATGAGAGGTAATTTTCCATAGCCACCATCCAGAGGTGATATGTAAATCACAGTATTCCCTAAAATATATTTGAAGTACTTTGTATTGGTGATTCAAGGAAGAAACATAAATTACATTTTCTTGTTTGCTTTTAAGCAATAATATAATCTTATTGTATTCTATAAAATCATCTTTTTTCAATCTTTTGTTTGGTTATCTGGTTATCAGTAGCATTATCTCATACTAAACAAGAGATTTTATGATTCATAGGGCAAATGATATCCCACCACAGACTTACATTTTATGTGAGATTGATAAGAAATTTCTATCAGACCTCATGGAAAATGCAGGAGAACCTGAGCTCTGGCCATCTCTGTCTATAAGTACTGAGGCCTCAAAACTCATCTATTCTTCTGATCTCCAGGGGAAAATTGCATCCTCAGTGGAGGGGAGTA